AAAGGAATTCCATGTTCCATGAAGTCTTTTTAATAGCTTAATTGAGGTCCTCATGGAGGGGGACGTATATCCCCTAGTCTGAATTTTAACTGCGGTCTTTTCGCGTTATTTGATTCTGCGTGTGGAGCGAAATGAATGAGGGGCAAACCTCCACCCAAGTTTTCCTTGAGTACCCCCCACCCACCCCCCGCCCCCAACCACGGCGGCTCCGGAACAACACAAAGCCTTCCCTGTCTGTTTTCGGTGACCTTTCACCGGCTTCGCGTTACTTTCTGCTTGTTATTTACCACTACGTATACGTACTTAACCTCTAAAGGGCGGTATTGTTTAGAAATTTTTGTAATTGAAAATAACCATCACAATCAAGTCTTCGTCGGGAACAACACTGCCATTGTATTCACTCGGGATGTCGCGCTTTAGTTCGGCCGAACTGGGAACCTTTCATGTGTAACCCTAATTCTGACGAAAAGGTTGTTTGTTTGCCGAGTAATGAAATTAAATAACGTAAAATTAGAAATCTCACAAGAATAACCATCGAAATTCCTAAATCGTGGGGTGCTAAGGAGAACGGAAATCTCAATGGTTATGACAACGATCAGCCCGTTTTCTAAATAAAGTCGACATTTATAACCAAAGACCAAACTTCAACCGAGGAAACCGGGAGAAAAAGAAACCTTTATTCATTTAAATATCAGTGAAAGCTAGGCTGTAGGAAATCTGGGGCCGCTACACATCTTTGCTTGCATAACCTCCGTTAACTGAAATCTCATGACTGTGTAATTTCTCGTCACCAGGGAGGATATGAGCAGTAGATAAGTGCCTACATTCTCTTGTCAAAGTAGCACAGCTTCAAGTTATTTTCTGAGAAGTTCTTAATTACAGTTTTAAAATTCTAAAATGGAGGATGCAAATTAAGTTTTAGGTCCGTTCGTAAGGCTATCTGAAGCTTGAGACAAGCGTGACAGGCCTGTCAGATAATATGCAAAGGTAAAAATTCTCACCGTGCTTTTTACTCCAGTAATATACAGCTATGTACCTTTCCTACACGCTTGATAAACACGGCTAGATACGGCCCAGGTTTCGTTTAGTAGATCCAGCGGCAATCAATAAACTACGTACTGGATAAAGCTGCCATGCGAGTGGGATCACTTCAATGATGTAACACGATAGTCCTGGCTGCTCCTGACCACAAGATCATCGGCTTGTATTTTTAAACTTAAACGTTTGCGCTCTCGCTAACATAACGTCGTGGCATAAGCATGCTACATGCGATGATGGAATAATATTTTTTGGCAATTTAATGTAACACCGTTTGCATACTGAAGCCTTGCTGGAAAGACTTTAGAAAATGATTTCAATTATTTTGGTCATTATCAGTGGCTGATGGTAAAGTGAGGATTAGGGCTCATTGGATTGGACTTCCTGACCAGTTCTTTGTTTTCTCCGCTGCCCTCTACTCTACTGCTATTTAAATTGACTAAGTCAATCTATAATCAGCGGACATTAACGGACACATTTTAAAAAGTATACTTGAGGGAACACGAACACGATTTCAAACCATGCTAGTATAGCAGCTAGTATATGTATAGTATATAGTTACTTGATTTCAGTTGATGTAGAACTGCTGTCAGAGTGCTCAATAGAAGGACTTGAGCGAGAATACCGAAAGTACAATGTTTTATCAACTGACGATTTGACTAAGCATTTTATTACTATGTATTTTCGTACTACATGATGGTGTAGTCCCGGGGGGGTACTTAAGGAATTTCTGGGTGGGGATGTGCCGCTGGGACCCTGGAACCCTGGAACCCTTAACCTATACCAGAGCTAGTTCAGCTGAATTTTGCTAACCTATACTAGAGTAAACTCCCTAAATCCCCCTATCCTAGAGTAGCTGTTTCCCTAGTCTAGATAAAATCTTCAACCAACGGATCAGTTTCCTGAAAAATGATACCCTGTTCTAGACCCAAACGCTCTGATTTATATACCCTATCCTAGAGTAAACTGCTTGAAAACCATACCCTTCACAGCGGCACATACCTATATAGTCCATATATGGCAGTACCCCCCGGGGGTGTAGTGCTCTTCAGAAAAAATAGCCTAATGTCGGGAGCCTGATGGTAGATTACAATTACAGTTTGCAGATTATATTTACTACGGATACAACGCTGTTTCTATGGGATCTATTATGTAACAGGAGAATTGAATTTTTTTGAACAGAAATTTGCTATCGGGTCTACACGAAGATACAAACTCGTTGCGCTTGTTAAGAGTGGCTAGATGGGGTTTACAGATTGTAAAATATTTCTCCCACAGACATAATTTACACCGTTTGGAAGAGGGGTTGTAGGCGATATATTGCTTCAAAATCTTCGAGGTGATCCGGAAGTTAATGTTACTCTCTTTAAGGTTCCAAACATGTTTACTTAGCTCGATGCTCATTCTTTTGCTATGATTGTTGAATGATGTTTTGTGGTTCACGAAGCGGGTCTGAAAAGTGTTTTCAGATAGTCCAACGTAAGCCTCGTCAGGTTTGTTGTCTTTTGTTGTTACGGTCGCTTGGTATATATACAATGGAGAAAGCGGGGAAGTCATGGAAGTCGGATGGTTTTCTGCGGTTGTCTGTACAATTTTTGTGACTCGTACATATTCATGCGTGATCGTAAAGTGGATTTGTTGTGACAGCCGATGTTTTGTTAGTATTAAAATTGATTGGCCAATTTATCACCTCCTGATTGATTAACTAATTAGCTAATCCCTGATGATTTCGTCCTAAATGGAAAGCATTTCGAATAGCGCTTGTAGAATGTATCATAGCAAAGTTTACTATCACGTTCATGTTTCTTCTATTTTATTCTAATTTCATTTAATGAAGGCTACGTCATGTTTGTAGTCTGAANAATCCCTGATGATTTCGTCCTAAATGGAAAGCATTTCGAATAGCGCTTGTAGAATGTATCATAGCAAAGTTTACTATCACGTTCATGTTTCTTCTATTTTATTCTAATTTCATTTAATGAAGGCTACGTCATGTTTGTAGTCTGAAACACGAGAATGCAAGTAGAGATTTGTTCGAAGTCTTCTTTTAAGGGGATGGACCATTAGGAAAGTGATGGGAGCGGGGGGCGGGGGGACGAGGCAAAGGCAATTTAAAAAAAACAATAAAGTTTTCCCCAGGAAATTATTAATTAAAATCATTTATATATATATTCCTGCGGATTCTGGCCAAAAAATTATATGCCAAAGGAGGAAAAAAAAAAAAAGATTTCCACTTTATATGTACACGGTCTGTCACGCTAGTCGTACCATGACAGATATGTCAAAATTGATACCGCTTACGAGTAAACATTCTTTGGTTGCTTCTCAGGTTCCAGATTCCTCGCCTACGGTGGGAACACTTTCGATTCGTTGCACAAACTTGTCATGGCCAAAGCGTCTCCTTTTGCATAATTTGCACGACTTCGTGGGCTGTTTTCCATTTGTCGATGCTGATAGTGAGACTAGTTTTAACTGCCGATGCTGTTTAATAGAAATGCAATGAGCACCAGATGATTCAGTGCTGAAACTAGATGAACTTAGTGTTGAAGTGCAGTTCCGGAGTTAATCAACAACAATTTGCTGACCGTTTGCCGTCGATAGTCATATATCTCCGCTGTAAGTAGAAACTTTTTCAGCATTTCAGATAATCAAGGTAGTAAATTTTACATTTAGCACTCCCCTTTATTCGAGATCAATAATTCAAAAGACACTAATTGTGCAGTGGATCCACTTCCGGCTTTGAATTGATTTGTCTGTGGACCCTTTGGACCGTTGTAACACGTTAGCACGTTAGTGTTCATACTACTTTGTTTTTTGGCTGGAAAGACAAATGAGCCTCCAGTAGAGTAACTTTAAGGATTTTCGTTGATGCTGGGTTTTAATCAACGAGAAAACTAGAGCGAGTTTTCATGTTTAACACGTGAATATTTGTCAACTAAAAACGAGCCTTTAACACGATTGTCGGCCATTTTTAAGTAGGTTAAACAAAGGCCGGAGAGGTGCTTTTGCAAGCACTTCTTGGGCAGAACCGAGTCACAACGATGTTACTCCGTTTTCTTAGTTTCATAGAACTATTCGAATTGTAAAACAACGCAAGTTTAGTTAGATTAAGATCAAGAGTACAGTATAGGAGTCAAACTAATAGGGGAACACACCATACTAATCCTTACAGATTACAGAATTAGCTCAACCGTAAATTTATATATGATTTACTCTCGACATTATTTGTTTATAATCATGATTCCTAGGCTCAGGGCTGTGAAATCAAAACACATTGTAAAAAGTGAAGGTGTACTACATATTCCGGGTCGAACAAGCATCATATTCGTAAGAAATCAATTACTGGATTACTTTCTTAGTTTACACAAATAGTTTGCATTTAAATGTTTTCAACAACAGCTACCCTACCCGTCTTGACAGTACGGCCATTAGAGCAGTAGAGATCACGAGAAAAAAGGACCGAGCAACGTCCAATGTTCTCTGCTTCCACACAGGAAACTGCATTGTCGTTAGCAGGTAATGTCTTCAGTTACGTTATTAAATCACAGTCCCATACCCCATAAGAAAGGGGAACTGACATGAATATTGACAAAATGAACTAGACATCAACAGCCGCGACACATCCCCTTCAATCTGATCCTTAGCCCTGTTTGATTCTACTTGTTTAATTTGTCTGGCGTGATGCGGCTCTCTTTTTTCTTGCATTGATGATAACCTCTGTTTTTGATATCTGATCGTTAAATTATTATTCCCCCTGTTTGATTCCTAAGCCTGCCAACTAGAGAAATGAAAAAAAATACAATAAATAAATAAATAAATAAATAAATAAAAAGAATTGTCAGAAGAGAAATAGACTTATAGTATTCAAAACTTCTACCTGTAGTTTTAATAGTCCAGTTATCATTGTGTGTGTGTGTTCTTTTTTTCAAACTATTGTTAATTGATCTTTTTTTTTTTCAGCCATGGCGGAAGACAGAGCGATCGACGCCACCTCAACAGTTGAAAAGGTATTTAAGCTGCTGCATACAAAAATGTAATGGGTTGCGGTTATTATTGAGTTTAATTTATTGTACCCTTTGTTCTATTTTATCCCTCTGGCTGCATATGTTAATTATTTTTTCTTTCTCTTAATTTGGTAATTTTGGAAGTAGATAAGTAGGGGAATTTTCTCATTGTTAAGGAACTTAAGAAGCTTTGTGGTGCCATTTCAACATTTCCATTAGTAGAAGTATTCTATTGGGTCCTATTTCAGTCGTCTAAGATTTCCACTCTTCTCGAAAAGGAGCTCTTTTAAAAGGAATTGTTTAACCCTATTTTGGCTGGGGGTCTTTTTAAACCCCTGCCTCCTGGCTAAATAGTTGAATGACTTCAAAACCGTTTAAGCTATTACCACCAAACTTAGTGCCGTTCCCTAAACATTTTTGGGAACATTTTGATGTCGTTGTGACGTGTATGTCAACACTGACGTTGCCCTGGTAACCCAGTTTTGACAGCCATGTGTTTCAAAATTTGCTTTTTCCGTATAAAAAGGGTATATTTTTATTTTTTCTCATTACGGTAAATGGCATTAGACTTACTTTAGGCAATATTTTACAAACTTATTTTAACTGTTAGTTTAATCCAGGCTTTTTAGTGACCAATTTGCGAAAAATAAACACGAATTTAAAATGACCAAATAGAAGATGTTGGGTTCAATTTTTAACATTGTTAATTTACCTCAGAATTTCACAACTTCTGGATTTCTTTTTTCCTCCTAAGCGTCCTTTTATACAAAGATCAATTTTTCTACCACGATTACTTCAATTTACACGGGTCTACATTTAATTAGTTCAAATTGGCAGATTTATCATGGCGCATGGTTACAGATCCTTCTGTAATAATTTTAAAAATATGACGTCATCATGACATCACTGCTATTGTTAAAGGTTATTTGTATTAGCCAACGTCTTCATTTCGTTAGACACCTATGGAATTTGGATTCTGCTAATAAATTTGACAATATGACATCATAATGACATCAAATTACGATGTTGGAAATGATGATGTTTGTTTGTTGTTATTGACTAGAATTCTTCTTTAAAGTGAAAGCGTTTACTTTATTTGGCATTTGAGTGCCCAATAAGCTTTTTCCTTTGTTGACTTTTTCTCATATATTTTGCTTGTTTTGTTACTGATTTGTTTTGCTTTTGCACCAATACTTTTCTGTAACACAGCCCTTAAAGATTACCCTTCTTGGTAGTGGGTGGAGCTCGTCAAAAGGTGGATTGTCAACATTAAACAGAGAGCTTGCGATTCAGCTCTCTGAACATGCAAAAGCAGACGTTTCTTTGTTAGTCCCCGAAGGAGCTTGTGAGTTTCAGGAAATTATAGAAGCAAGTAGTTTTGGAATAACCGTTGTTGAGGCGAAGGGACGTACAGCATATGATCGTCTGGAATGGTTAAGTACCCCACCAAAGGACCACAACATGGAAATAGTTGTTGGTCATGGTGTAAAACTTGGCAGGCAGGTGCAATTCATAAGAGACTCTGCTCGATTTCCAAATTGTAAGTGGGTGCAAGTGGTACACACCGCTCCAGAAGACCTTGGTAGGTTCAAAAGCTACACTGAACCTATTTCTAAAGGCCAAAGGAAACATCAGGATGAAGTTGAACTTTGTAAACTTGCTGATTTAGTCGTACCCGTTGGTCCCAGACTGAAAAATTTTTACTCTTCCTATCTACGACGACATAAAACAGATCAAGATGTTTTTACCGTTACTCCCGGCCTTTTCGACAGAGAATTTGAAGATTTAGTTGAAAAACAGAAACCTAATGAGGATGGCGAGTTCAAGGTGTTGTTATTCGGCCGTGGGGACGATGAGGATTTTGAACTCAAGGGATACAACATTGCTGCTCAAGCATTTTCTGATCCGCGGATGAAAGAAGACTTTTGTCTCATGTTTGTTGGTGCTCCCCAAGGAAAGGAAGATGAGGTAACCCAAAGGCTTGTTCAATGTGGTATTGCTAAAGAGCAACTCTTTGTTAGAGAGTTCATAGCAAATAGAGAGGGAATAAAAGACATACTGTGCGAAGCTGATCTTGCCATTATGCCATCGAAATCAGAGGGATTTGGTTTGGTTGGCCTGGAAGCGCTGTCTGCTGGTTTACCCATTCTAGTGGGTAGTAGGTCAGGATTTGCTAAAGCACTTGAGAAAATTAAAGTACCGTCTGGGGAATCGTGTATTGTATACTCTGATGACCCTACAATGTGGGCAGACGCAATTGTAGCTGTCCGTGACAGACACAAATTGAAGCTTGTGGAGATCAAAGCATTGAGAGAATCGTATGGACAAATTTACAGCTGGAGGAGACAATGTGAAGATCTTGCCAACGTGATGCAGAAAATGATGCACGGTATGATGATGTTTTTAATCATTGTCCCATGTGCTATTGTAGGTTGCCAAGAGCTATTATGATCCCTCCCCTACAAAACCAACAGCAACAACATCATCAAACAAACAAACAATATCAAATACTCTAGTAATCGCTACGTTTCTGGTAAAGTGTTGATCGATGGGTGGGTGTATAATATCCTTTTTGGATTCTTCAGGTTATTCTGATACCGAGGTTGATCTGACGGACGAAGACAAGCACCACTTTGACACCGAAAGAAGAATGCACCAGGGCCGCGTATACCAGCCATATCAAAGGCCAATGAAACTAAGGAGTCTTTATCAGAAAAACGAAGGTGTGACTACCAGGTTAAGCGAACTACATCAAAGAAGTGAAAAAACATCAGGGGATATTCCAATGCTCGCGTCTTTCAAAGGTATTATCTATTATTCTTAAAAACGAGAGTGATTAGCATGAGATCAGAGGTTCTTAAAAAAAGACAAAATGAAACCAAACCAAACAACGTTCAACAGGGCGCTTGCTTCTGACGGCTCTGTTGTCATGAAACAAAAAATAAAACTTCGCATTATTTGAAAGCATGAACGGTTTTACATTAAAATTGGACAGGGGAGTTGGTTGTCTGCGATAACCCGTATCCGTATTATGCGGGTTACGTCTTGTAGTGATTTTTTTGATGTCAGTGTAATATGTTATCTATTTGTTTCTTTTTGTGAAGGTTTGAAACCAGGAGTCATTTCACTGTTACTTTTTATTCACTTTTTTGTCGTTCTTTAGATTTTTCTAGCACCAAAATCAATACACAACAGTTTGATGCAGATATGAGCAAGGAATTGTATGAACCTTGTCCAAGACTACAATTTTGGCCAATGAAGCTGAGACGTATTTCTCAGCAAAACGAAGAGGATGGTGTGATAGGGTCAGAGGACAACAAACACAACGGTGTTGGAAAGTCAGGGGGTTCTTCAGTCTTTACGTCTGACCAAGGTATTACTGATTTAAATGAACCATTTTAGACTATGTTTACTTATAGTATCTCTTGTGCCAAAACTCATTGAGGTACAGGAGGTTATGAATCAAAACGAAATATCTAGCATTTATCACAGAGGCATGTCTAAAAGAGAGGGGTCGCAGACACCATTGTTAACATCCTAGGTTATCAATTATGCGTGAAGACGGGGTGACAGACAGCCACGGTGGTGTCTACCTATATAACATTAAAAGCGACCTCTTCAATACGAACCATTGTATGATGTGAAATGGCCTGCTGAAGATAACGACTAAGCATATTAATGAAGGACTGTTTATTGCTTTTGTTTGCCAGAAAGGGATCCTTGCTTCATTGTAAGTGTTTCATGTCGTCAATAAATGGGGCGTCATTTACATTAATTTTACAGTATAATTTGCATGGTCACTCATCGATGTTTCTTAGGCCTTGTTAAGCAGTGAAGGGATTTTGCTCAGCTAAGGCATTTAGCAGTGTTTGGGTATCTTTCATCTCAAGGTTTTTTCTTGACTCTGAAATCTCTTTATTTTGCTCACCGGTACTGTAAGAGACTACTGTGAGACCCAGCATGCCACTATTCATCTCAGCACAGACTGGCATCGAAAGAAGCCATATCAGCCGCTGTTGCTCTGTCATTCCTCATCCTCTCGTTAAGCCACCACTCATCTTCATGCTTTTCATTAATACCTGCTCTAAACCAAGGTCTGTGGTAAGCCGCGCCCATTTTCGTTCACTTCTTCATACTACGTGGAATCCATCAACTAGTTTCTGGTACACAACAGAATGTTCACTCTCTATACGGACCATGGACTGCAGGAACATCTGAGAAGTGTTAATGTTGTGACCAGAAACTACCATATAGGGAAGTATTTCAGAAAGAGCTTTAAGATGCTGTACCCAGTGTCCAGTACGTTCTTTTTGATAAAGTTTCTTAGAATGTCGACCATGTACATGTACTACAACCAGAGTTTAGCAGTGCGATTGTCTTGTAGGGATTCCTTCTGCTGTTGGAACAGATTTTTGATCTTACTGATTGCACTGGCCGCTAGCCATTGAGTTAATCTTCGTACAGAGTACCAGCTTCTTGAAGTCCAATAACAGGTGTACCTAGCATTGCCTCCTCTATAGCTCTTGCATTATTCACGTCAGGGGCATTAGCTTCTCCTTCAAGATCAGGAATGGACATTCCCAGGGCTTTTGAAAGGATAAGGGTATTAAGAACTGCATCAACGATATGCTGGTATGGCTCTTGCTATAGCTTTACCAGTGAGAATGTGCTCAACTGCAGTTTGTGCATAAATCAATTCCATAAGTTCCTTTAGCCCAGATTCTGCCATTAAGTGCCCGATACGCTGCTACCAATGAAACCCATCTCCGTGTGAAAACTTCCAAGACGGAAAACTACCTGACGGAGATTACTATTCGCAGGCTCAGACTCTATAATCATCAACACCTTCCACCACAGTGGCTTTTCAAAGGTATGTTTTGGTGTCACTTCATGACATCGAGCGTGTTCTGAAACAAACTTCAGTGTGCAGAAGATGCATGTGGTGTTACTTGAGGTCATGTCTATCATTAGACGAAAGACTACCGAAGATTGACCTGGATGACAGCCTCGATGAGCGAATTGCATCATGCCAAACCAGGCCGGTCTTGATACACCAAACAGGAGCGATGTTTTCCAAAGTGCCTCTAGATTAGTTGAAATTCTGCACAAACCAGTCTCGGACAAAAATTGTTGGGACACTTGACGCAAAAGCGTTTTTTCCCTTCCCGTGCTTCCCTTTTCCCTCCCAATCTTGTTTATTGCGATTCAGTCACCAAATCGTGTACACCCACATTGAGGGGACGAGAAGACACAAAAATGTCCCTTATAATTTTGACTGAGACTGCAGATCCGTAAAGAAAATATGCCAGATTTCTTTCTTACTCAGAAGACTTACATGTACAATAGTGAAACAGAAAATTCTAATCCACTTTTCTCCATTAAAACGGCAAAAAGCATTGCTGCCGCAATTAGTGGTAGGTTGGCTAATTTCAATTCCTGAAATGCCTGGACTATACCCTAACCATGCAGTCAACCGCAGTCAGTTCGAGAATAACTGTTTTGGTCTCCAAAACTTATTGAGGCATACTTCTCCAACTGTGCTCTTCTCAACTGTGGTGACTGTAACCTCTCTGTCTTTACAGGGCCTTTTAAAAAGCACACTGGATTAAATATTTCCTACTTTGTCCCTTTGTTAACTAGGTTCTTATGAGAAACGTTAAAAAATAAATAGATAAATTTAAAGATAAAATTAAAAGATAAATAAATTTGATTAATACAAAGAATAGTGGCTCACAGTTGTCGACAGCAGAAGACAATAATTATGTGGAATCTGTGATCTTTTCAAAGATTAACTCACTTCTATTTTGTAAGGGAAGAATCCCATGCTCCCGAAAAACAAACAAGCAATTCTCGCCTGGAGAACTGTTGGGTATTCTTTATACACTTGAACTTTTTTCAACGATACACTGTATTTGCTTTTCTTTTGCAATGTAATTCCAAAACATTACCACACCACTTCACCTTGTATTGAAATGACAATTACCTAGATAAAGAGAGCCCCGGTGTCAAACCGCACCTTGCAGCATGTTTACGAGCTGATGAGCCTCCAAATCCTCCTACAGGGCGTCAGACTCTTTTTTTTGAAGAAAATGAAGTGACTGAAACAAATGAAGAAGCTGCATCAAAATCATCTTATGGCATCCCAAACTCCAGTTACGAGCAAGGTACATTTTTTTCTGGTTTAAACTAATGTCACCCATTATTCCATTGACGGATTTATGAGGGAAGGCTATTTACAAAAGAAAACTTCCGATAACCACGAAACTGGGCCATGGCCTGAAATGTGTTGGTAGATTTTTCCACGTCACCGCTACTTTACCCATTCATGTAATCATTTATGTTTTAGCTCGCGATTTGTTCCGTTAGAGATCTGCACAGAAGAAAACAATTTAGTAGTGTTTTTTTTTAGTACACAGTATAAGCTTTTTTCCAAAGGTAATGTGAAGAAAGGTCAATCTTTTTCTTTTAGTTATTGCGTGACAAACGATTTTGACTTTTTATTGGTCATGTGACTTTGGAACGCATTACAAATAGTTTCG